AATGCAGCTATTTAATACATCTTTAAATGCATTTTTCTTAAATATAACCAGTGTAAGTACCTGAATTTGACCCGATATCATGTTGCCATCCATGTATAGCAGGCGGAGTGTGATAAGAAGAAGCTGTACAAGGAGCCAATCAGTGATGTGCTGAAAAGAAGCATGTTGATCGGCTGAGAAAGCAGAGTGACAGAGAGATGAGTTCATCACTGTGCTGCTTCTCCTTTCTCTGTTCAGTCACAGGCTGGGGGAGGGTCCAGGATGGCTTGGACTCAGAAGAAGTGGGTTTAATGAAAATAATCATTTAACTTGGGCTGCAAATAATGCTTATTTTCAGAATCGATTAGTTGGTTGATTATTTTTTTAGATTAATTGGATACAAAAAAATGAAATACCATACTTAATATAAAATAAAATACACAAATGCAGTGTTACAAATATAAAGTTTACTTTAGAATAAAACTGCATGCACAATTTTTTGCAATCGCACTGCACTGGCATTGCGGTAACGTGCGTTCCAGTGCAGGCGCTCACACTGTGAGTGGGAGGTGCGTTTGAGGTGCTATTAAAATGAATGGCACTGCAACACACCTCCCGCAGCAGAATTTGTCAAGCTGAAACCCGAAAATGACTTTTTTCTCACCTTTTATAGTTTTTTTAAAATAATTGTATAGTATGGGCATGGTGCTTGAATAGCTTCAGCCAGGGAATGCCCCCTGCCTGTGGCAAGACTCTGCAGATGGCAGCTGAATGTAAATAGAGCAGGTAATGGGCTGGTGCAATAGCCAGCCTGCTATTGGCCATTTTAAATTGCAACAGTCAATAGCAGGCTGGCTATTGCACCCGCTCACTGCTTGCTGGGCCTCCTCCCAGTATGGAGGAGAGAGCTAGGGGATCCAACATACTATTCTATAATGAGAAAATTCACAACTATTCTCGTTATCGATTATTATTGAATAATCGATTAGTTGGTTGCAGCCCTACATTCAACCGAGGACAACTACTGGCATAACAAAGTACTGCGGGGGAAATCTCTGGATTGAAGATGATTTTGGCTGGAGTTATGCTTTAACTAAGCTAGACAATTAACAACTAACATGACAGACTGTAAAAAGTGATAAAGTCATAGAAAAAGTGAGTTAAGGAAGAACTCCATCAAAGCTAATTAACATTTATGTGACCATGTTTCAGCTCACACCGCAAAACATGCTATAAAAGGTAAACTTAGCCATTAACATCATGGTGGCATCCAATAGTGATAAAATGACTGCTAAGTCTATCTTCAAGCCCAGCATCATCCACAAAGGGACACGAATGAAGTAACAATTTCCAAGCAGCCTAGCCATACATTTGTCTAATCTGTTAGCCGGGGCAGACAAACCCCGGCCCTCCACCCGTAGTGCAACTTCAAATCCCATTAGGCATGGCAAGACTCTGACAGCCACAGGCGTGACTCCCAGAGGCCGAGCCAAGCTTGAATAAACTACATTGGAGTCTACTCCGAGTCTTCTTGGCGAGTTGGATCCCGCCTGTGGATGTCACCAGCTCAGCAGGTTGCCATACTCTCCGTACAGATGAGTCTCAAGAGGCATGTGCAAATACATAAATCGGTGGTTGGAAAGAACATTTTAACACCACTGCAGCAAGTTTTACTTGTTTAATACCTCACTTTACTACTCCTTAAATTCTAGCCTGTCATTGCTAAAAACCTTCATATCAAATTATAATCTTAGACTTCACTATTAAACACCCACGGCATTATAAATTCAAAATTATAAATAAAACACAATATAATCTGAAGTCCCCATTTAGTCCTGTCACTTTCATGCAGACCTTTCTACCTTCCATTCCAATGTATTATATGTACTATGCTACATTTACTTTGACACTTCACAATTCAGTGCCGATTCAGAGCCTGTACAGCTCAGCAGTTTCTCAGAGGTACTGTCAGCTTGCCAATTAATGGGCAGTCTATTAATACTCATGAATATTTATATGTCTAGACAACTGCAACTTCCTGCTATGAACTCCAGCTAGGAGATCTCACTGCTTGAGTCCTAGAGATGTGTGCGGCATCAAGGGGTTTATTCAACACGCCAGCAACCAAACTGTAATCGTTCAATTCTGGGTTGAGTTAGTCTTTAAGCCTCTCAGAACTGTTTTGTCTTAGGAGACACCTTGAAGGTGGCAAGAGACAGGTTCTCACTTTGCTTTTTCTGGTTGTGTCCTTCTAACATGAATACTGGGGAAACAAAACAGTGATGCAAAATTTCTACTCTTTGTCTGTTTATCAGATTCAAGAAGAGACTAAATACTTATCTAATTCATTGTATTGTTAATTTTATTGCAGTAAAGAGGGATTAATGAAATACAAAAAAACAGCAGAGGTATTACCCAAAATAACCCATAACCAGTTTTAAGCCGGGGAAACTTGGGAAATGTTTGGCTGCTCGAGATATTACCTCACTTTAGTGTACACAATTTTGTATTTACTGTATTACTGTCCGAACTAAAAAGCTGGGGCAAGGTCGTTTGGTGAAGGTTAGATCAGCATGGGTGGAGAGAGTCTAGTTGTCCTATCTTCCAAAGAAACCTTATGTGAATCACTGCATTGCATTATTGAGCACAGCTTGTATATACATTATATACACACACACACACACACACACACACACACTGTATAGATATTGTAACAGGAAACATTCTTAACCACAGTCTTCTAGGGCAAATACAGCACCAGACAGTCCACTTGACTTTTCAAAAAAGCTAAATTTTCCATGGCACACAGTAAACAAGTAATTCTGCATTCATGAAATAAAGTCCATTCTTTGTAGCAAAATACAGCACTTCATAACATTAGTTAGTACTTTCCGGTATTCCACGTTTTCCAAAACAATGTCCTTTTCAGCAACAAACCGATAAATGCGGGCTTCAGTCCTTCAGCTCACCTAGCTGGGTAACAGTCTGCTATCCATAAAGCCAGGCTTCCTTTTAAACACTCACACCCGCAATCATGGGCTACACCTTTGATTACAAAGCTGCGACGATCAAAACCTGGACTGACCAGCTTACTTCGCTGATGGGATAATGACCCATCCTTCTCTCCATTATCCCAACCCCAGGGACTTAGAACACAATTTATAAATTGCACAACTAAATCATACACGCTTTCCCAGGGGTTTGTAACTAAAAAAGAGGGATGCAATCTAGATGATAGAAAGACAACAGTAACTCAAATAGCCACTTGTTACATCCGAGGTATGCAGGAGAGCATCTCTGAACACAGAACACATTGAACCTTGAAGCCAATGGGCTACAGCCACAGAAGACCACACCGAGTGCCACTTCTGTCAGCTAAGAACAGGAAACTGAGGCTACAGTTTGCAAGGGCTCACTAAAATTGTAAAATAGTAGATTGGAAAAAATGTTGCCTGTTCTGATGAGCCTCGATTTCTGTCACGACATTCAGATGGTCGGGTCAGAATTTGATGTAAACAACATGGAAGCATGGATCCATCCTGCCTTGTATCAACGGCTCAGGCTGGTGGATCTTCACATCATGGATGTGCAGCTGACAAATCTGCAGCAACTTTGTGATGCTATCATGTCTGTATGGACCAAACTCTTTAAAGTGACATTAAACCCTCAGATTTTTTTAACATAAGCCAATACTGTAATGTGTGCCTTACTGTAATCCATGGTTGTTTCCCTTCACTTTGCTGCTTTTCTTTTTAAATCCTCATGTCTTCTCATGCTCGGGGAGAACTTCCATTTTCAACTCAGGGCCTCTTCCTGTGGTGCTGGCTCAGGTTACAAGCCTATACAAACTTATACACAGACACTGTGTATCCATTCCTGAGACAAGGCAGTCTGCTGCAAAACAGAAGTTCTGCAGAGCATGAGAACAGATACAGATTTAAAAGGAAGAGCAGCAAAGAGAAGGGAAACAACCATGGATTACAGTAAGGCACACATTACAGTATTGGCTTATGTTAAAAAAATCTGAGGGTTTAATGTCACTTTAAGTAATGTTTCCATCACCTTGTTGAATCTATGCCACAAAGAATTAAAGCAGTTCTGAAGACAAAAGGGATCCAACTCAGTACTGTACCTAATAAAGTGGCCACTGAGTGTATATATCTCAAATAAGGTTTATAGACATACTGAATAATATGTACATTACCCAGACCACATTGAATATACACAAAAGTTAAATAACTGGAAGTTTCAGGAAGTTGAAATGTACATTCAGTAATCCAGGCCTGGACTGTTGGCATTATTATGTATTGTATAGTGGCAACAGGGTAGACAGTTAACATCATCCGAGTTCATGGACAAGACATAGTAGTAGTAGGCAGCTTCTGCCTCCTTGGATTAATTATTAACTACAAAAATCCAGCAGTCAAGAAATATGATTCAGGCTGGCACTTGGAACAGCAAGGTTGAAGGACCTAGAAAAGATCTTCAAATGTATTGACGTATCTACAAGAACAAAGATTGTCCAAGTTATGGAATTTTCTGTGAATCTCTATAGGTGTAAAAGCTGGACAATGAAGAAGCAAGAGGGGAAAAGTATTGATGTCTTTAAACTTTGGCAAAGAAATCTAAGGATATCATAGACAGCAAGGAAAGCAAACAAATGATTCCTTCAACAAATGAAGCCCAACTTTTCACTAGAAGCATAGGAGGACTTGACAGAAAGACAATTATGATTTGATGAAGTTGAGAAAAAAGATGACAAGAAATAAAATTAAAAAATAATAATAAAAGAATGAATATGCCATTGTGAAAAATAATCCGAATAGAAGACACATCATTATGGAGAAGCAAATATGTGCTCCCCAAAGGTCAGCAGTGACTTGATGGCAAATAATAATGATAATAATGAAAAATGCCTAAATTCCAACCTGTAACTTGCTAGTAAAGATTGTCTTTAATTCCTGGAGATTATGACTGGATAATCTGGAGAAAAAGGTCTCCTCTGCCAAAAATGCTCCTACCTGTCTGTCAGCAATTTTCTTTCGGTGCACTGAGTCGCACAGACGCAGCTCTGTGCACAGACTCGGCATGATGAAATGAAGTAACTCATGTACACATGCATCGGGGCCCAGCCAATCAATAGGCCGATGACAGTGAGCCCGAAAGAAGGTCGGGTGAAGATGGCATTCGGGCAAGAAAGGGGAGAGCAGACAGCGCAGTGCTGTAGGGAATCATTTTCAAGGTAAGTCGGCCATAATGAGCACATTTTAGCACATTATGGGAAACGCCACCGTAGCATGTTTTTTTTTTCCTCTTTTTATACCCCACTTTACTTCTGCTTTAATGCTAGCCTGTCATTGTGTAATGCTAAAAACCTTTCTTATTATTATTAATAGTGGAAAACACACTATTTCCAATCTATAACTTGCAAATGAAGATTTGCTTTAATCCCCCCTCCTCAACAGCTTACCTTCGCTCCCCCAACACAGTGTTCTGTCTCAGGGAGCAAAGAAGATACCTGGTACTGCTAGGAGAAACATATGACTCCCTTCATGTGACAGCACAGGTTTAATCACTAACTACCTGCGCTGCAACATGAAGAGTCCATAGCCCTGTGTAAGCTATGTCTACAGCAACTCATAGGTTATAAAGGGCAGCTTGTTCTGCTCAGAACAGCGCAACAGAGCGAAGGAAAGGTAGGTGTCAATCGCTTGGGTGTGAAAGGAAACAGGGAGGCTTAGTTTTGTCCTGCATTAGAAAAACACAAGTTTATTTAAAGTGTAATGGACATGATTTAATATCCAGCATCTAATATACAAATCACTTTCTTCAATTACAGGTGCTGACATTGTTTTTAGTTACTCAATATATTGATTCAGTACGCAAAGGCTTGTTAATTACATCACATGCTGATTTACATCTATATATTCGACATCTACATGTAGCCAAACACAAGCTTGGCTGACTGCAAGCTAAAGTCATCTACGAGGTACACAACTTTCATTTTGTTAAATACAGTACTTATTTATACACCACTTCCAAGTATAATAATTCAGTAGTTTTAGTAATTGGGGAAAAAAGAATTTGGTGAAAACCCAACAGAATGGGGCATCAAATGCTCACTAGTGCTGCTTAGGCTGTAAAAGACCATCTCTATTACACTACATCATGCCACAGAGCAGGAGAAAGGAAGCAAAATGCTGTGAAATAGTTAGTTCCATTGGCCCAATTGATGTCTGGGTAATTGAAGTCACCCATCACGACTACATTGCCCTCTCTTCCAGCTATTCCTATCTGTGAGTGAAAATTGACTTCTCCCTCTTCCCCTATATTTGGAGGTTTATAGCAAATACCCACGAGAAGTTTACTGTACATAAGAGATGGACTACAATCTCATGTTTAGTTTACTATTTTGCACTGAGATTGTAATCGATCATGGGAACAAGCTTGGAGCGGTGACTACTTTACAAACCTCCAGAAGGAAGGACAGTGTCAGCACCAATCAGAGATGATTTGAGGATCTAACAGCCGAGTGATACAGAAATAAGATACATTTTTGTTAGTAAGGCACTTGAATGCATTTTTAAGATTTAAAGTGACATTAAAGTCTCATGTTTTTTTCCCCATTCTGTCTCTGCTTTAAAGGAGAACTATGGGGCGAGTGAAAATCACTCATCCTCATAGTTCGAGCCGACGTGTGACAATGAAACTGTCACACACCGGCTCAATCGATCAGGAAGTGAGCGAATACATACCGTCACTCCCTCACTTCTCGATCCCCCCCTCCCCGCTCCGATCCTCCAGCGCTGACTGGGGAGGGGGAAGGTACAGCTGGCTCTGCCTCTAGATAGGCTGATAGGCAGAGCCAGCTGTCATTCATGCAGCTGGATGGACCTCAACAGCATTGTTGGGATCCGTCCCGGCTGCGGCGGTCTCAGCATACAGCAAGCTGTAGCTCGAGATATACTGAGCTTTGAAACAACAAAACGTTTTCCTGGCACACTCACAAGCTAGCAT